TTCATTGACGACATCCTCATATACTCCAAGTCACCAGAGGCCCGTGAGCAGCATTTGCGAACGGTTCTACAAACACTGCGTGATCACAATCTTTATGCCAAGTTGAAGAAATGCGAGTTCTAGATCACTAGTGTACATTTTCTCGGTCATGTCATTAACAAAGATGGCCTCTCGGTTGACCCCCAAAAAGTTGCAGCAATCGTAGACTGGCCACGACCTACTAATGTGTCAGAAATCCAAAGTTTGTTGGGTCTAGCTGGCTATTATCGACGTTTCGTGCAAGATTTCTCAAAGATAGCATCGCCCTTGACCTAGCTAACTCAGAAGAACACACCCTTTGAGTGGACTGATAAACAGGAGCGTTGCTTTCAAGAATTAAAAGGTCGACTTGTGTCAGCCCGTATACTAGCACTCCCTACCGGAGCAGATGGGTTCGTAATCTATAGTGATGCCTCATACAATGGGTTGGTTTGCGTTCTCTGCTGGAATAAAAGGCAGACTTGAGGTCTTGAAATTGCCAACCTATGCAGAAGTGGTGGACCGGGCGTACATAGCAGAAAAGGGAATTAAAGCCTCACGTTCCGGAGAACCAAGCTTCAAGAAGCGATTCTGGGAAAGGGATAACAGAAGACCCGGTGTTGCACCTCATAAAAAGGTGAGCATGGACACAACCAGCTCAGGCCACCATGGTCCGACCAACCCCCGAGGTGGCACTATTCCAACTTGCGCCACTTGTGGGAGGGCACATTGGGGACAATGCCATCGAGACACAGGAGCATGTTTTAGATGCGGACAGTTTGGCCACTTGCTAAGGGATTGTCTAAAGATGGTTAATCCTACAGCTAGCCCCTCTGGCCCAGTCAAGAGACCCGCGGGACCTGGAGGAGAAAATAAGGACCAAAACTGCCAAGGTTGGGCTTTCACCTTGGTACCTGGAAAACCAGAAGTTACTGAAAATGTGGATTCAGGTACACTTTCTGTCTGTGGTCTTTTAGCTCATTTCCTTATTGACTCTGGGTCAACTCATTCTTTTGTTGCACCACACTTTGCTGCCAAGTTGACATCAACACCCAAACCATTAGGATATACATTGTCTGTGTCTTTTCCTTCTGGTAAGTCTGTCTGTAGTACTGATGTGTACAGATCTTGTGTTGTATTCCTAAAAGGCAAAACCTTATATGTAGACTTGATTCCCCTCCGCATTGGAAACTTTGATGTAATCTTAGGTATGGATTGGCTGGCTGCCAACCACGCCTCTATCGATTGTAAAGCCAAAAAGGTTTCTCTCAAGTTACCAAACCAACCCAAACTTGTATTTGATGGGGCTGAAGTTTCTAACCCTTCCTGTATTATATCCTCCATGGCGGCCCAACGACTTCTAAGAAAGGGTTGTGGTAGCTATATTTGTTATGTGATTGATACACAAAAAGAGGCCTCCACCGTTGATGCAATTCCTGTAGTTCGAGAATTCCTGGATGTCTTTCTTAAAGATCTACCCGGTATTCTAGTTGATCGGGAGATCGAATTCACCATTGAAACCCAACCTGGCACGCAGCCTATATCAAAAGCTCCTTAACGCATGTCGATGGCAGAATTGAAAGAGCTGAAGACTCAACTCCAGGAACTCTTGGACAAAGGTTTCATTCGGCCTAGTACCTCACCCTGGGGAGCTCCAGTATTGTTCGTAAAGAAAAAGGATGGCACGATGAGATTATGCATCGATTACCGAGAGCTGAATAAGGTTACCATCAAGAATCGATATCCTCTGCCGCGAATCGATGACTTGTTCGATCAACTTCAAGGCGCACAAGTATTTTCCAAAATTGACTTACGTTCTGGCTACCATCAACTAAAAGTTAAAACAGAAAGCATTGAAAAGACTGCCTTCAGAACCCATTACGGGCACTACGAATTTCTCGTCATGCCTTTTGGCGTCACAAATGCCCCAGCAGCCTTCATGGACCTCATGAACAGAGTGTTCAAACCCTATCTTGATAAGTTCGTCATCGTCTTCATTGACGACATCCTCATATACTCCAAGTCACCAGAAACCCATGAGCAGCACTTGCGAATGGTTCTACAAACACTACGTGACCATAAACTTTATGTCAAGTTGAAGAAATGCGAATTTTGGATCACTAGTGTACACTTTCTCGGTCACGTCATTAATAAAGATGGCATCTCGGTTGACCCCCAAAAAGTTGCAGCAATCGTGGACTGGCCACGACCTACTAATGTGTTAGAAATCCGAAGTTTCTTGGGTCTAGCTGGCTATTATCGACGCTTCGTGCAAGATTTCTCAAAGATAGCATCGCCATTGACCCAGCTAACTCAGAAGATGACACCCTTTGAATGGACTGATAAACAGGAGCGTTGCTTTCAAGAATTAAAAGCTCGACTTGTGTCAGCCCCTATACTCACTCCCTACCGGAGCAGATGGGTTCGTAATCTATAGTGATGCCTCATACAATGGGTTGGGTTGCGTTCTCATGCAAGACGGAAAAGTCATTGCTTATGCGTCACGACAATTAAAGACTCACGAGAAGAACTACCCGACTCACGATTGGAATTGGCTGCGGTGATCTTTGCTCTCAAAATCTGGCGTCATTATCTCTACGGTACAACCTGCGAGATTTATACTGACCACAAGAGTCTAAAATATCTATTCACACAGAAGGAACTGAATATAAGGCAACAGCGGTGGCTAAAATTTATGAAAGACTACGATATAAAGATCCATCACCATCCGGGCAAAGCTAACGTGGTGGCAGACGCACTGAGCCAAAAGACGACGAGAAGTTTGGCATGTACTCTCAAGATCAATGGGTTGCTCGCCAATGTAACCGTGGAGCCTACATTAATTGGAGAAATTAGAGCATGCCAATGGAAAGATAAACTTTTGAAGAAAAGGTACGAGGAACAAGGGAACACGCCTGATCCTAATTTCATTATAAGCAATGGGATATTGAAATTTCGGAATCGAATTTGCATACCCGACATCCCGGAACTCAAGAAGAAGATACTAGAGGAAGCTCATAACTCAAGATTTGCAGTCCACCCTGGCAACACAAAGATGTATCATGATATGAAGGAACACTACTGGTGGATCGGAATGAAAAGAGATATAACAAGCCATGTTTCCAAATGTCTGCATTGTCAGCGTGTTAAAGCAGAACATCAGAGACCTGCAGGGCTGCTGCAACCACTCTCTATTCCTGAATGGAAATGGGAACACATTACTATGGACTTCGTGGTCGGGCTACCACAATCTTTTTCAAAGAATGATACAATATGGGTTATAGTAGACCGATTGACAAAGTCAGCACATTTCCTACCAATCAAAATCATTTACCCTCTGAATAAGTTTGCCACTTTATATATCAAGGAGATTATTCGGTTGCATGGTATCCCAATATTAATCGTGTCTGACCGAGACCCTCGTTTCGTGTCTCACTTCTGGAATAAATTGCAAGAAGCTTTGGCAACTACACTGAAATTCAGCATGGCCTATCATCCACAAACCGATGGGCAATCCGAGAACAATCCAGACATTGGAAGACATGTTACGTGTATGCGTGTTGGACCTCAAAGGTAACTGGGATGAGCACCTACCTTTGGTGGAATTTGCCTATAACAATAGTTTTCAGGCAAGCATTGGAATGGCGTCGTACGAAGCTCTGTATGGAAGGAGATGTCGATCACCTCTGTGTTGGATAGAGGTCGAGTACAGGAAATTGTTAGGCCCCGAAATCGTGCAAGTCACCAGTGAGAAAATCCAACTCATCCAACAGCAGATTCGCATTGCTTAGAGCCGCCAGAAAAGTTATGCAGATACTCGGAGACGAGACTTGGAATTTCAAGTAGGAGATCATGTGTTTCTCAAAATCTCACCAACAAGAGGAGTGATCTGATTCGGAAAGCGCGGAAAGCTAAACCCACGTTACATCGGGCCATTCAAGATACTAGAAAGAATTGGTCTTGTAGCCTATCGCCTTGCATTACCTCCTGAGCTATCTAATATCCACAACGTGTTTCACGTTTCAATGCTCCGACGGTATCTCCAAGATCCAGAACATGTCATCAACTATGAGAACTAGGAAGTTCAAGAAGATCTCTCTTACGAAGAACAACCAGTGCAGATTCCCGATCGTCGTAATCAAGTTCTCCGCAACAAGACCATACCACTGGTAAAGGTCTTATGGAGAAATCATCGCATCGAAGAAGCTACGTGGGAAACAGAAGGACAAATGCGAGCCAAATACCCACACCTCTTCGAAAATTAAGGTACGTCAAGTTTGGGGACAAACTTCTAATTAGAAGAGGAGAAATGTGACACCTCGAACGTTTAATTAAGTACACATAAATATTTAGAGTTATATATAATTATGGTGGCATGTGATGATAGACTATTAAATAAATAAATATATAAATTTAATTTGGCATTGGGTTATCAAATATAGGATTAATTGGGAATTATTATTTGGGAGCAAATTAACACATTTATGAAATTGTAATATTAATTGGGTCAAACTAAAGATAGTAAATAAATAATAATATTGCTAACAAGAATAATAATAATAATTTGTAAAGTAAAATAAAATAATTAATTTTACAATGCTAAATGATAAGATGTAATTTAATTTACATTGAAAAAACTTAACACCAAAACAAATAAATAAATGAATAAAAAGAAAAGAAAAAGAAAATTTATAAGCTTGTTGGCCCAGCAATTTCAAAAAAAAAAAAAAAAAAAAAAAAACCAACTTAAGGCCAAAATATATTCAATTCACATCCAACATCTATATAAAAAAAATAAAACAAAATTCTGAGACATTTAAACTTCAAAATCTCCTACCATATATCCCAAAATCTATCTCAACTGTTCTAAATTATCCAAACAAAATTCTAAAAACCTTCAATTTCAATTCTCAAAACAAAAACTAGAAAGTGGATCTAACGTCAATTTTGTGAAGGCGGTTGGGAATAAATAGAAAAATCAAAAGAACTCTCATTTCTAAATTCAGTCTCCATTGGATTGTGTCCTGCTAGATTAAATTATATTCCCTATATAAAAAAAAAAGAAAAAAAAAGACAATTCATTAGAATAAATGTTATGGACTAAATTACATTACAAACATATATATATATATATATATATATATTACTTACTTGAGAACTTTGTGAACTATGTGATGCTTGGGAAGAGAGAGGTTGTGATTGTGGATACTTTGGTGAGTATGAATTAGTATCACGTGTGAGAAGATTATACCCATAATTTATTAATTGTGGTCAGTAGAGACCAACATCCAACTCCATAAAACACCATGAAAAGTAAATACACTAGTACAACGTAGTCTAAAAAATAAACAAATAACATAAAACAAGAGCTAACTTGTGGTTGGCTTAAAGATGAATTTTGAATATTTGTGATATTGCTTAATTGACCAATATACATTACACAATTTATAAAAAAAATAATAATAATAAATAAATAACATAAAACAATAGCTAACCTATGGTTGGCTTGAAGATGAATTTTGAACATTTGTAGTGTTGCTTGATTGACTAATAGTCTAAAGAAGTTCAAAAAGTTATCAATACTTCACACAATTTATAAAACTAAATGCTTGTCATTTGAAATTTCAAAAGTACGTACGTAATACCATACTAAGGCGGGTAGGTTGTGAAATAATTTTTGTTTTCTTATTCATCATCTCATGCCAAGGTTTCAATCTACCTCTCCCTTTGTGTCCAACATCTTTCTTCTTTATGCCCTTAACTTGTGCAAAGTTGGGGTCATCCACATCTAATTCTTTGATACCAAAATTTCCAATTCCCTTTATCATATTATTCACTTTTATACACAATTCCTTAATCCCTTCATCAACCAATTGATAGGCAGGTTTATGCACGGATGCTTGAGTTGCTAGTATCACCATTCTTGGACAAAGATCTCTATAACGTGCTAATATTAACAATTTCGGATCATCCTCATCCATTATAACATTTTCCTCTTCAACTTCACAATCTTTTGCATCCAATCTCCATCGACCTAATATGTACCCTTCGGGAATTTCCATAACATTCATTCTATCAAGTGCTTTGATTGCATGACTACATAAAATTCCAAAGTTCTCAAATTTCTTACAAGTGCAATGTTTTTCGATAGCTTTTTTCTCCTCTTAGCCCAATAACTTCCACCCTACCCTCCACAATATACTCTTCATCATTACCATACAAGCCAATCACGCACTTAACTTCTCCTTCTAACTCATGTAATTGCTTCACTTGACAACAAAGGGACGTATCCAACTCATAATGAAATAAGTCAAAGATAGGGGGTGTACAAACTCGCAACCTGGATTAAAATGGGAGAATTTTTCAATTTCATTCTTGGCAACTTTTGTCTATAATCATCTATTACAGAAATTTCCTCATACTGTTTATCTACAACAATCTGATTGAAGTGAGTAAAGAATTAAACAATGTTATGATCACCTTTCAAACATCTCCTTAATGTTCCATTTAGACTTTCATTAAGTTGTGTGCTTCGCATTCTTCTAGTAAATACCCACTTCATATACACATGCGCCCACTGCTCTCTTTTTCTTCAAGTTCTTTTCATCCACTCAGTCTCTTGCAAGTTGTATTTATCAATCAAAGAATTCCAAGCTTCAATTAATTCATGCTCATTCTTGTAGTCATAAATGCAAGCTTTTAAACCGCTACTAAATTTTGAACCACTCTTGAACAATTAACCTAAATGCTTCAAAGCATTTTGCATTAGATGAAAAGTGCACAACCCATGAAAAACCTTAGGCATGATTTGTGAAATTGCCTTAGCCATTGTTTGATCTTGGTTTGGGAAAAAACTAATAGGCTTTTTTCCCGACATTGCATCTAAAAAAGTTTCAAATAACCTTTAAATGACTCTGCAGTTTCATTATACAATAATGCTGCACCAAAAATCACTGTCATTCTAAAGTGGTTAAAGCCAAAAAATAAAGCAAGTGGACGATACTCCTTATTTGTTAAAAAGCTGTGTCGAATGACACAGCATCACCGAAAAGTCCATAATCTGTTATCGTCTGATGATCAGCCCAAAAAATATTAGTAATCTTCTTATCTACATCCAACTGAATAGCATAGTAAAAATATGGATTTCCTGCCACTTGTTGCTGGAAATATCTTAAAAAACTCCCTGCTTCACCATACTACAAGTTTCGCTGTCTTTTTGCACGTAAGTAGGTTTTTTGATCCTTCCGCGTGAACTCTACAAATTCCTTCCCTCCTACTATAACACTAATAAGATCATGTGAAGCCTTAAGAGATATTTCAGTCTCATCAGCTATATCAATATTTATACCCTGAACATCACATACCTTTCTTTGAGATGGCATCAAATGAGTACATTGAGGAAGATGCAACGGGTGGTTGTGGTTGTTATCAAACTTTGACACAATCCACTTCGACAAGTTCCGCTTAAAAACTATATGCATGAATGCATTACAATTTGTTCTTGTCTCACTTCGAGGATTTTTTATCACCGTATACCGTTTATCTTTTTCCCTCTCTCCCTCATTACAACAAACAAACTTTCTACTAGTCATAACACCATCTTTCTTGCTTTTGTTACAATAATTTCTTCTAATACTAAACCCCACAATTCTTCCGAATTCATTATAAAACTCATATGCAACTTCTTCTGATGGAAACTCCATACCAAGATATTGTGATTTATCCTTGGCCAACTTTCCCATTTCTTTGATGCATCCCTCAAGTCCACCATCATCCATTATACCATCTTCCATTTCAACACTAGCAAATATGGGGAAAAAAAATTAAACGAAACAAGAATCTGAGTAAAAAAGTTATTAATTAATTTTAAATGCTAAGTAATTATAAACAATTCAACGAAATTTGATAAATCAACTAATAATGTAAATTAATTAAAAGGATAGAGGAGAGGAAAAAAAAGATGTATAATTTGTACAGTAGCATTGGAAATTTATTGTGTCTAAATAGATTATAATATACAATGGCAAAATTATATTAGAATTACTATATTATATATAATAGAGGGAATCTTTTGGTAGACACGCTTAAAGATGTAAACCATATGCCTTCTTATCATATAATTTTTTGAAATATGTTTTGTATTTTTATCACAAATGTTATGTCATTTTTTATTGAGTTATGACAATTTATAATTAAAAAAATAAATTTGTATTTTATAGTAAGGTTATACTTTTTTTTATTGAAACTTTTTTTAGACCATAAAATGACATTATTACAAAAATACATAACATTGTTATAAAAAAAATTATGAATTACAAATTATCATAACTCTTTAAAAAAATTATATAATATTTATACAAAAATACATAACATGTACAAAACAAATTACATGATAAAGAAATTTTCTTATAATATATAATTGTGTTTCTCAATCTATTCACAGGAAACAAATCAAACCATTATACTTGTTGAATCCACTAACACATTGCACAAAATAAAATACAAGACATATATACATGTATAATATATATACAGATACACATACCAGTTTGTTGAACAATAATGATTTGTAAATCCAGCCGAAGGATGGTGAAGCAAAGACACAAAATCAACTTTTATCAAAACTTTTCAAAACCATTTTCAATATGGATCAAAACTGGACACGCCCGAGATCTATCATTGAGATGTACAACCCTGGATCCCAGCAACTGGAAAGTTGTCCCTAGTCTGAATAGCACTGCACTGGAGATCATAACCGAGCTTTTGAATACAGAATAGACTAAGATGACCAACATGATCACATGGACAAAGTTGATTTGGAAGTGTTTATGGCTGGACTTTAGAATGAAGTTATCTACGTATCCCAAAGATGAGAATCAAACCTTACGTAGTTCGGTTAAGGTTCACTCATGTATTAACACTCTCCTTTTGCGCTCTAACTTTTGCCAAGGCCACCCTTTCTGAGTTTTCAACCTTGCGAGCTCAGTTTTTATTATTTCAAATTTTTCATGCTCTAACATTTGCCTAGGTCGCCTTTTCGGGTTTTCGGCCTAGCGAGCCACTTAGGGAAAGTATTTCTTCAACTTAGCCATATTGATCGGTTGGGAGAACTCTAGGCCATCTAGCTCCATCAGAACGACAGCTCCACCCGACCAGATAGACTTGATGAGGTAAGGACCAGTCCACTTAGGTCTAAACTTGCCCCTAGGGTCGTAGATGGGAGCTCGGTTGTCTTTGAGCACCAAATCCCCTTCCTTAAGATTCCGAGACTTAACTTTCTTGTTAAAATCCCTGGCAATCCTACGTTGATAACCTTGAACATGGTACAGTGCTTTCAGCCTCCTCCCGTTGAACAGCATTAGTTCCTCGGATTTGCTCTGTTGCCAATCCACTTTTGCTATCTGACACTCAGCCATAACCCGCAGTGACGGAACCTTAACTTCAATCTGCAGAATAGCTTTCATTCCATAAACCAGAGAATACGCAGTTGCCCTGCTAGATGTCTGAATTGATGTTCTATAACCCCAGAGAACAAATGGCAGTTTGTCTGGCCAGTCCTTGTAAGTTTCCACCATCTTCTATAAAATGTGCTTGATGTTCTTGTTTTCGGCCTCAACAGCTCCGTTGGTTTGCGGCCGATATATAGATGACTTATGAAAAGCCACTTTGTATTTCTCTAACAAGTCGATCACTTCCTTCTTGAAATGGGAGCCGTTGTCTGAGATGATCTCATTCGGGACCCCATAACGACAGATGATATTATTCCTGATGACCTTGGCTACATGCGACGCTTTCAGCACTGCATAGGATTAAGCTTCTACCCACTTTGTAAAATAGTCTATTGCTACCAAGATGTATCCATGTCCATTTGACCCTTTCGGTGTAACTGCCCTAATGACATCAATTTCCCAGACTGAGAAAGGCCATGGTGAAGTCATATTGTACAGCTTCGACGGCGGGATATTCATACGATTTGCATGAATTTGGCATTTGTGGCATCGACGAACAAAACCAATACAATCCTCCTCCATGGTTGACCAATAGTACCCTTGCCTGAGAATCTTCTAGGCTAGCATTGCTCTGCTCATATGTGCTGCACACTCTCCCCTATGGATGGCCTCCATTAAGCGTTTCGACTTTTCTGCATCAATACACAGCTTGTGCATTCCCAGATGACCCCTCTTATACAACTTACCCCCGCAGATGATAAATTAAACGACCATCCGCCGTATTGCCCTCTTATGTTTGGCACTTGCCCCTAGTGGATAAATCTCATTTTTCAAGAAGTTTCAGATATCATAATACCAGGGGTTTTGATCTTGCACTTCATCTATTGTGGCGATCAACTCGTAGGCCAACACATATCTCTGTTCAATAATGATCAGACGCATCCAGACCCCAAAAGGGATGTCTATCATAGAAGATAAAGTTGATATGGCATCAGCGAACCTGCTGTTTTCTCTTAACAGATGCGTGAAGGTTAGCTTCTCAAACCTAGGAATCAGAACATCTAGGGTATGATGATAGATCTTCATCTTCTCTTCTTTAACCTTCCAGTCTCCTTTTTCTTGAGACACAACCAGGTTTGAGTCCCCGATGATGTCCAACCTTTTTGCCCCTAGTTCCAGGGCGGCTTCCAAACCAACGATACACGCCTTGTATTCTGTTTCATTGTTAGTGAGAGGGTGATTTATGATCCGGTGTTGGGCCGAGGTGGTGACCGAGCAAGTTGAGAGCCCGGCAGTGCATTTGGCCGAGATGATCGACTGTTCACCCAGAGATGGGCTGTCAGAGCTTGGGCCGGGCAGAACTTGGGCCGAGCGCGTCCCGACCCGGACTCTTAAAGAAGCAGCCAGCAAGGCAGTGCTCGGTCGGACTCGGTTGCTCGGTCCGAGGATAGCCGAAGCCAGACAAGCCGAGTGTCCGGTGCCCGGAAAGGCACGATCGACCGAGGTTACCGTTTGACCGGCAGGGAAGCTGGCCACGGGGTGCTTCGGGCTAGGCTTTGCCGAGATGCCGCCTAGCCCGGCCCCCCTTATATACTTTGCCAGGAAAGTGCTAGGGTATGGAG